ATTAAGATTGTTTTTGTTGTTGTTTTTTCAAAACAATTAACATTGTGNCGATTTTGTATAAGTGATTTGTTGTTGTTTTTTCAAAACAATTAACATTGTGTTTTTTTTTCACTTTTTAGCGAACAATTAACATTGTTTTTTCACTGTTTAGCAAACAATTAAGATTGTTGACTTTGTAATATTCAAGATCAGCTATGTACAGCTGTTAATGTCTGTTTTTGTGTTGTGATTACTATTGTACCTATGTTGGGGCACAGCATTTCTACTTGAGGCCAATTTACTGTCAAAAAGGTTTTGAGATCTAATGTTATTTAACATCTGAATGTCTGTTAAGGCTGATGTGGTGGACTGGAATGGCAGGTTGTTAAATTGTTAATTTTAATGCTCGTTAATTTCGGTTACGAATACTTTTGGCCTTTCTGCTAATTTTTAATTTAAAAAAAAAAAATTTTCTTCAAAATTTTTTCGCGGGCTGTGGGTATAGTATGGTCTTACGTTATGTAATAGTCATCATAAGGAGAGCACATAAGTATCCCGTTAGTAGTGTAAGGATAAAACTAATCGTCTTTTGTCTTAGTTTGATATTTTGAAGTTGAAGTATTACCAAAATTTACTCTACTGAAAAAGAAAAAAACTAAACTAAGTGGCGCGACAGCCCATAGAGGGCAAAGGCCTACTGTGGCCATCTCAGTTTTCTCGACCTTGGGCTCTGGGGTGCAGGAGATGTTCAGGTCAGGTGGTCAGAAGAAAGCGGAACCCTTAGTGTTTAGTTCCCAAGCATGCTTGGAACTCATTTATCGACCCACTGAAGGGATGAAAGGTTGAGCCAACCTTGTTCGGTCCGAGGATCGAGCCCAGGACCTGTGGCATGGGAGAGCGAAGCGCTACCACTCAGCCAAAGGGCGTGACTCTACTACTTTCAGGGTTTTCTCTCCATCGTTTTTGAGACATTTTTCTTTGATGTTGATGTCCAATGTTTCTTTTAAATTGTGTTTTATTTTAAGATATTCCTCTCATTCTGAAATTTTTAAATAATGTTTAAGGAAAACCTCTATCACCTGCTCTATGCTAAATTATTTTCAAACGTATGTAAATTTAGTAAATGATTTACTTATTTTTATGTCTGTATCTAACAAAACTAAGACTCGAATAACAATTCAAAACTTATCTGCATAAAACCATAACAGTAAAAAATAATTTGAATGAAGATAAATTTTAGAGTTTTGCTTTACAATTGTTGTATATAAAAATCCTGTTACAAATTTTTTCTCGCAAACCGAAACTGTAAATCATCTCGAAAACCAAACAGATCATGAAAACTGCTGCACTATCTCAGCATGGTTTTTCCAGATAGATCACATACAGAAATTGTTTAATCAGTATATATTAAGATGAAAAATTTATTTATTTTTTATTCAAAAATAAATAAACGATAACAGCTTTTAAATATTAACTTATCACCTGAGTAATATTTCAAAAGAAGATTTGAGGTTTGGTATTCCCATTCATAAAAACTGAAGTTTACGTTGAGATATATTCATTTCGCAAATTTTTTTATCAGCTTTTGTTATGTTTCATCATTCCGAAGGGAGTGAAACACATAAATTCTTATCAGATAACTCTTTTATTGAAAAATATTATAAGGATGAATCTTAAGTTAACATGATAGATCGTGTTAAAAATAAATTTGTATCGTCATTATTTATGTAATTTTAGATTGTCACTTTGTAAGTAACAAAGGAAAAGAAAATATTGTATTTCGAAAAAAGTTGCAATACTTGGCTTATTTGTTTACTTTCATATGAAAAAAAATTTATAAATAAAAATATATTTATTTATATTTTAAAACTTTTAAGAAAATGGTATTAAGTACAGCATAACATTTTGGCAACAAAGCTTTTTTTTTATGAAGTAAAAAATATTAATTTCTAAGATGCTATTTAAAATCTGTAGAATAGATCTTAAGATATTTTTTAAAAAATGTCATATTGCATGTAAAAGAAAATTCTCGCCAACAGGTTCCCAATGGCGCAGAACTCGATCCTTAAGTCAGCGGTTCAACGCTTGACATTTATACTTTTTCTTCTGTTCTAATTTATCTCATTCTCAGATACTTTTCAAACTGTCACCAGAATTTTTGAAATTTACACTCTTGTGAGCTCTACATTGAATATGCAGTATAAGCTCGTCATCATTATTTTTAATTACTTTAGTAACTTCAAAGGCTGAAAAAACATGTTAAAAATTGTTAAGAATATTTTTTGAATCTTATTTAAAAGTTTTTACTTTCTTTAATAAAAAAGCGGGTAATATAGCACTAATATGAGATCAGTTTTTAAAAAAAGTTTGCCAATTTTCCTGTTTTCCTGTTTTTAAAGTTAAAAAAAAAATAAAGAAAGAAAACAATCGCATCAAAAACATATTCCTTTGATACTCTTTTTTAAAAAAAAACAATTTTACAAAGAGCAACTATTTGCAATTTAAACTATTTAAAAAAGCAGCAATTAATTTCCTTTAATTCCTTATTTATTTAATAATTTCATCAGGAAATACAGATTAGCATTAAAATAAAAAAGTTGCATTTTCTAACAAAAAAAGAATAGAAAACTCATTTTTATACATACAAAAATCATCTTGTAGTAGTACTTTATTCACATTTCAATAGAGCCGCATAATGGGCTATTAGCGACGGTTTGAAAAACGTACCTGAGGATGATCCGAAGACACCCCATCAAAATTTTGATTATCTGCAGAGCAGATTGCTCCCCTGCTTTGGGATTCGACAACCTGTGCGCAAGTCGAGCATTTACGGTAGAATAGTTTAACGAGGACCGATACCGCGCTCCCTCGTTCCCTTCGCACGTTGATCAAAATTAGCACCCACTTGTTCACTGATTGCATCCAATGATGCTTGTCTTCGGTCATTAACGGGGAATTGCTTCTTATGAACGGTTTACTAAGAGACCAAAATCCTCTTGTTTCAAATTACTTATCCCACCAATTTATACAAAAAAAAAATTAAATCGAAATATTTAATTGTATTAAAGTAAGTTTAAATATTTTACTTTGATTTTATCTTTAATTTTATTACATTCATGCACGTAAAAAAACACATTGGAACCTTTATGCTTTCTTATAGAGCAAACTAGCTTCCCTCATGTTATCGTTTTTTTTTTTTTTTTAACATATTTTTTTAAAAAGTAAACTGAATGTTTTTTTTCAACTGATGCAAAATAAAAATATTTGATACACATTTCTCAGAAAATACATAATCAATTTCTAATTTTCTTCTTTTAAATGTACAGCGAGCAGAAAAGCAACAGGAATAACTTTTGATCTAATGATCGTATCTTCACGTTCTCGAACTCAATCTAAATGGCTCGAAGGGATGACTTCAAATATGCTAATTAATTAGTTCAGATGATAATTTAAGCTAACAAAATGACAAAAAATGTACAGGTACAAAAATGCACTCTCTCTGAATAGACATACCTTTTTTTCCGACAGGTTAGGATTTGCAACTACAAAAATCGGAGGTAGCAGTAATCTGAGAAATATGGTCCCAATAGTTTGGTCAGGAGAGCTGTCAAAAGTTTGGACCCCTTAGTGCTAATTTAACTTTTTGCTTATTTCGCCCTATCTCGAGAACTTTTGAAGAGAATTGAAAAATTTTTGCACACAATTATGGAATTCGTTTATTCAAAGATAATTTAATGCAAAATATAATTTTTGGTAAATATTTATTATTTTTTATTATTTTATTTAATAGTCAAAAAACTTTTGAATTGTAAGGTACTTAATTTTTTACATCATTTTAAAGAAGGCAATTTTACATGGCGAAATATAAATGTGAGCGAAATCGATCGAATAGTTCCAGAAAAATCGAGTTTTGAAACCGTCTCAAATTTAAAATTCGATTTCACAGGAGCTATTCGGCCGATTTCGCTGAAGCTTTGTATCGTGCCGTTTAAAATTGCATTCTTTAAAATGATGTAAAAGTTATATAAAATTCATTAAAAGTTATATTTTGCATGGAATTATCTTTAGATAATCGAATTTTATAATTGTGTACAAAAAATTTCAAATTCTCCTTAAAAGTTCTCGACATATGGTGAAATACGCAAAAGGTAAAATTAACATTAAAAGGCCAAAATTTAAGACTGCTCTCATGACCATTTTTTTGAACTGTTTTTCCCAGATTGTTGCTATGCTGTGTATTTTGAGGGTTAGAAATCTAAATCCGTCAAATAAAAGTTATGTTTATTCAGAGAAAGTACGTTCTTGCGTCTTATTTCGTTATTTTAAATATCGTCTGCAGGAACTAATTAGCATATTCTAGATCACCTCCGTGAACCAATCAGTTTGAGCTCTAGTACGTAAAGATTTAATCCTTAGATCAAAAGTTGTTCAGGATGGTCCGTTTCTTATTTTACTCACTGTACATTTAGGTCAGTATGGAAAAATTAGTTTTTGAAAATAAAAGTTTGTGCTCAAAATTTGTTTGTCCCACATTTATTTTAAAACTAAATGAAAAAGTGACTACTGAAATCCTTTAAAAATGTTCCAAATTAAAAGCACGAAAAAAGTAGCAAAAAAATAATTAAAGTCATGTCAGAATTTTTTTTTGAAAATTACATAAAAGTTGAATATTTAAACATCCAAATTTCCTGATTTTTGAAATTTTCTCAATTAAGTTCTTAAATTTATATTATTAAAAATGTAAAAAATAGGATTGTATTTTAGAAGAAAAGCTGTATTTTTTAAAAGTTTCTTTCACTTTTTTATCTTAAAAGAATTTTATCTTTTCAAGATTCTCTTGGAATGTACCGAATGAAAAACCTAAATATCGATAACATTACATAAAATCTTACACTTAGCCCCTCCCATAATTTTTTTCTTCAATTCTTTAGAATAATGCATTTTTTCCTCAATTTTAGAATCCCCTTCCCCTTATTGGTGGAACGCAAAAATGACGTCACAATGGGCATGCTTTAATGCAAGCGTTTTAAAACTCTTTTCCTCACAAGAAAGTGACATCCACGCACAACTCAAACCATTTTATCTTTGAATATAAACTTTTCCATCTTTTGATGTGATCCTTCATTTGATGCTCGTCCGACGGTAAAGTGATAACGGGATCTCCTCTCACCGAAATCGGCACCGTAAATTACAGAACAGTAATGGGCGCAAGTTATATTTGCAAAATTATTTTCGTTTTTTTTTCGCTCACTGTAACTGCGGTTCGTACAGAAAAAAGGACTCTGTCATGCGACAATATTTGCAAGGGAATCCGCTTTCCTGGAAAATTAGGAGGCTGCAATTGTAATTATGTCATATTCACAAAAAGATCCAGTCAACTGTAAGTTATTTCATACTTTTTTCTTAAACTCTTCTAAAATTTTTGTATAATGTAATAATTCATATAATCTTTCTAAAAAGTGTGAAATTAATTAGCAAAAAGGTATTTTTAATTTTTTTAAGTTTTATTTAGTGTAATTTTTTTCATTATTTTCTAATTTCATTTTACGTATTTATATCAACCGTAATTATCTCATATTCAAAATAAGATTCAATCAAACTGTAAGTTGTATTTGTAATTATGTCATATTTTCAAGAAGATCTAATCAACTGTAAGTTGTATTTGTAAGTATATCATATTCATAAGAAGATCCAGTTAACTGAAAGTTATTTTAGAGATTTTTTTCTTTTATATCTCTTTATTTAATTATTGATATAATTCAAATTAATATCTTAATAAAATTATGCAATTAATCATATGAAATCGTATTAATAACATTTTCTAGTTTTATTTAGTATAAATTTTTTTCATTATTTTAATAATTCATTCTACTTATTTATAGCAACTGTAATTATCTCATATTCATAAAAAGATCCGTTGCAACTGTAAGTTACATTTATTTTTTAAAAAAAGATATTTTCTAAGATATTTTTGAAATGTTTTAATTGAAATTGAAGAATCTTACTAAGAAGTATGAAATTAATCATATTAAACCTTATTAATAACATTATTCAAATTAATATAACATGCATTTCTATTGTTATCTTAATATTTGATTATTCGTCGTAATTTTTAGTTAAAATTATAGTTACTTTGCTAACTTTTATAAGGTATATTTTTAAAATTTTAGTCTTCTTCAAAAATCTCTTTATAGAATCTCTTTATTTTATTATCTTCTTTAAAAATCTTTGATTATCTATCTAAATCCATTATTTATGAATTTTATTTCAATGCGGTAGGAAATAATTATTAATTTATGGATATTATTAAACAATATCTTAAAAGTATGTAGATATTGCTTGTTTATGATTTATATTTCAATGTGGAAGGAAATAATTATTGATTAAATTTTAAGGGAAGTTATTAATCCTTAAACATGGCTAATATAAAATTTTTCTTCTGCAAATATTCATGCATATTAGTAAGCCTGAACAAATTTTTTAACATACTGAAGCTTTATTATATATTTTAAAATTGCAGAGAAGCTTTTCCTTTAAGACTTATATTTTCATATTAAAGAGTAGTATTGTTATTTCAATTGTATTAAAGACTTGTAAATTTACATCAAATGTATATATATTCCAGTAAAACCGTATCACTCCATAAAACGAAGATACACTTCAAATGTGTCATGCTAGTTTTGAACTCAGAAGACGCACTTCAAGTGTGTCATGTTAGTTTTGAATTCAGATCAATTCGATTTCTGAAATTTTAAAGATAAAACATTGATCCACTTAAATTTAAATGAATAATTCTAGTCTTTTTTTGTTAAAACAATGTTTAAACCACAGTTCAGAGAAAATTTCATTTTTAAGAAAGTTTAATTTGCTTTAAAAATATGTATTTCAGATCAAATCAGCTTTAAAAGTAATTTATACCATCTTTAAATGTTTCCTTAATTCCTTTTTTCAGCATTTGCTTTTTTTGAAATATTTGAAAAAAATAATAAAACGAAACCGAATATGCTTTATGAGTTTGTAAAAGTAGTAAAATAAATGGATTAAACCAGTTGTCATATAATTTATCACTCGAAGATAAAAACTTGCATATTATTTCTAGACAAAATGAAAAAATCTTATTTAATAAAATAATTTAGTTTTTTTGTAATTAACTTAATTAATGAATTTTGATAACAAATAGATGAATTTTGATTATCATATTGATTCGCCTTATGTTTAGTATTCTAAACAAAATAAAGCTTAATAAGACATAAAAAGCAAATCAAGCGAAGTATAGTTCCATTAAACTTCCAATAAAAGACATTTTTATTTGAAAAAAAAAAGATCATGAAAAATTTCTGCCGCTATTTCAACATTCCTACTGTACAAAGCATCATTTTGGTTGACGACTTAGTATCAACAGGTGATTTCGTCGAGAAGTAAACTTTTATTATTCGCTCTAAAAGGAATTTTATTGCATCTGAAATATTGTTAGAAAAGCTTGTAAAAGCAGTTTCATGATTTTAATTTATCTATTGCTCACCTTGTCCAACTATATTCTTCATGTCATTACTATTTTTTTAAACTTTAAATGAATATGGGAATTTAGTAATGATTATTTTTTCGAAAATTTAAAATTAGAAAGGCATTACTTTCTTTCCATCTTTTTGTTTTAGTAATAGTAAGTTGTTTGATGTTCTAAGAGCTTTTCAAAAGTAGAAATTGCATTTCATTTTTCAATAAAATGTTTTTTATTCATGGCTAGAAGAAGCGAGATTAATTCTTAGCTATTTTTTTAATGAACTAGTTAATTTCAGATTTTTTAGCAATTAAATAAAGATCAAAATATTTTCTCAGTTTTTATATAAGAATTTTGTTCTTTCATCTTAATATTAAGACGTTTTGTTAATTCGTATGCAATTGTCCTTTTAAATGCAAACAGATGTTTATTAAGTTTAGTAAAGGAATACAATTTATAACACCAGTGTATAAGGAAATAGCATAAAATGACAAATATTCGAATACTAAACAAAGTATAGCAGTTTTTTTTTAAACCATAATTGAACATTGTCGAAGCATAAAGTTTCAACTGTATATTAATTGTAACTGTATTCAACATACATATAAAAATATGATTCGTAAAATAAGTTTTTCTTCGCTTAAAATATTTTATTCATATCTTTCATTCATGATTTTATTTTATGAGTTAGAAAAGAAATGCCATAATTCATGAAAAATAATTGTATCTTTATTTTCATTAACAAATGATTTTTAGTTAATTTTTACAATTGATGTTTTAAAAGAAAAATAATATTTTCCTATATTTTATACAATATTAATAAGGAAATATATTTCAGAAATGCTATATCTTTTTTTAAGGAACGAACTAATGCTATTTTAATATTATACTTTTCTTAAAGTTATTTTTCAAATTTAGTACAAATTTTTATTAATTAATAGTACGTTTTTAATATTAATTTTGTTTATTTATTAATCTATCTAAACTAAAGTGCCATATTTTATTTGGAAAGATACCATTGCAGCTACCACAAGACATTACCAAATTTTACAAGTTAAAAAGTTTTGAATAAAATGTTGTAAATTGCATTGAATGCATAAAAATTCCCTTATAAACTAGGATTATTCTTTACAGTTGATTAGAGGCTTTTGAAACGTTATTTTTAACTAGTTGGATGTTATTTGCAATGTTTAAAGAAAGCAAGTCAGCAAATAATAGAGCTTAATGAATTACTTTTATCTCTCACATTTATCATTAAAGCAAATTTAGAGAAAGACATAATTCTTTAAACGTAATTAGTTGCATTGCGTAGTTTACGTTGAAGGTATAAATATTATAGGGGTGCATTTTGAAATAGCTTTATTGTTTCAATTTTTACAAGTAAATATATTTCTCTAGGAAAAGCATTTTTCTTACAAAAATATTCTTAAAATGAATGCAAAACATTTATCCTAAATTATGTGACATAATATTTTAATAAAAATTTGAGAATAAATTAATTTCCTACCCTTAAAAATTATCAATTTCGTTCTCTTAAATATTGGAAATACATAAATTTCGAAAATCATATAGACGTGTAAAAATTACTTATGGGTATGTAAAATGTAGTCATACATTCTAATTTCTTTGTGTGCTTAAATTTTAGTAAATTATTACACTATGAGAATTTTTTTGTTGATAAATTTAATGCAATTTATAGTAAATAAATTTTATAAATTTAATGTAATTCATAGAATTAAAATATGACTGAGAATTTTATTTTGTATTGAATTTGCTAATTATTAAGCTAAACTTTTAAATATTTTTTGTCCTCATATCGGATTTTAAATCTCATATTTTTCTAACTTTAAGGCAAAATATTTAAAAAACTATTTAAAATAAATTTTTAAAACAAGGAATACGTATAGTTTAAAAAAAATTGTGCCATATCATAAATTGGAGTACCATTCGTAAGATTTAAAAGAGTTTTAAAACTATTTCAGCCTTATATTCTGTGATGGAAAGCTTCTGAAATGGTCACTAAACCATATTACTAATAATTTTTTTAAACAGCTTTGGTATTTAATAATTTGATGAAAAAAGATTTAGAGTATTTATAGGAGATTGAAGCCAAGAAAAATTTGACTTTATAATCAAAGATAAAAAGACATTCAGATCATATCAAAATTCGTAATATTAGAAAAAAAAAACTTTTTGAACCCCATTCTCAAATGTAAAGTCTTTTAGAATTGTCACAAAACAGTAATATTTAAAAATTTTTAAAAAATTTTTTTTCGCCACATTCGTAGTTGTTATAATGATCAGAATTTAAATAAAATACTTATTTTTGATGTAATAAACTGTCTTTAATAATATACAGACCATAAATATATAAACCTTTAGTTTTTCAATAATGTTTTTTCAAAAAACGTGACTCCAAAACAAACTTGAAAAAACTTGTTTAATTTTAAAATACGTTTGTTACCAGATCTTATATATTTAATGCAGTTAATGTAAATACTATTATTAAATATACTGCAAAGAAATATTGCATTTATGAAAATTCTTGATTTTACGAAATTATTACATATTCAGTTGCTGACTTCGTACAACTTTTCAAGAATTTATGTCCTAGAAATCTCCTTGGAGAAACGCGTTTAGTAGACTTCGAGTGGGTGCCAAATGAAATTTAAATAGAAAAATTCTATACATTGGCATTCAGAATTCAACTGCTCGTTGTTGTAGCCAAAGAATATTTATTAGATGTGTGTGAATTTTCCAAGATTTGACTTCGCTGTAAAGTACATATTTAGGGAAATTATTCTAAGAATATAAAATTTTTCAAATAAGGAAAGGATTTTATTTTACTCAAAGTTTAAAAATATTTCCCTTCTCCAGTCTTA